TATATATATATATATTTATTGCTATTCTTGCAAAATCATGTATGTTAAAAAAAATTGTAATAGAATCGAAAGTGCGACGAAGATATGATATTTCGAAGCATTGTAACATATTTTATGTCTGTGTGTGCGCGCGCGCGCGCGCGCGCACACACACACACACACACACACACACACACACACACATATACATATACCACATATCCATATTTATCTCACGTATATGTACATACATAAAACAAAATTATAATATACAATATGTATAGATATATGTATATATGAGATTCTATATGTATAATTTAACTTATTACGAATATTGTATAATTTTTCCCATTTCTAACAGTAGACTCGATCATTCTGCCGATCTGTTTTTTCGTTAACTTTTTAGATTTTTAACTTTTTAGTGTATTTTAAATAACTATTATTTTTAATATTCAATTTTGGATTAAACATGTTCTATTTTAATATTTTTAATATCGAATGGATATATCGTAATTTTAAATTTGTAATTTTAAATTTGTAACGTCTTAATGTAAAACGGTCGAGCCGTTGCGAGTTTTGATGCATACTTCACTCGATGTTGTTTGTTTTGTTCTCATCTGTATTAATCTAAGGGCAATTGAAGGTTTTAGCTGCGTAAACAGTAAACGTGATTACACGAGCGAACCATTTTCAGAGAGAAGAAGAAGAAGAAGAGTAGCAAATCTAGTGTAGGATTATAGAGATTTGTGCCAATTTGTGTGTGGTACGTGTTTATCGTTTCATGTTCAGTATTCTAAATGAATGCGATAAGTAATATATATGTGTGCATGCATTTCTATTTACTTTAATATTTATAGGTTTTACTCGTAAACATGGAATCGGGATACATAATAAGGAATAACGCCAGGATTACTGCGAAGGATATAACAAATTCAAGTGTATCATCAGAATGCATTTGTTATAGACCACATTCTCACATTATTTGCAACGGTTGTGGATTTTGGACTAAAGGAAGAGTAAGATACTGTTGTCCTCAACATCCTAAGGTTATTATTTTATTCGCATCATATTTTATATTTTTTTGTCTCTTAATCTTACTTTATAATTGAAGATATAAAACAATATTATGATATGTAGGGCCGGTTGTTTCATCTTCAGATAAACTATGTGGTAATTTATCTATTGGATAAACAAAAGAATAAGAGCATAAAAGAGCATAAAAGAGCATAAAAGAGTAAGGGTTGTTCCACCTTTCGGTAAACTTCAGCTCACTCTCTTACTCTCTTACTCTTTATGCTCTTTATGCTCTTTTAATTTTTTACTCTTTACTGTTTTGTTTATAAATTATTATATAGTTCAGCTGAAGATGGAACCGATCCTATTATAGAGTAAGACAGTGAGCTGAAGTTTACCGAAAGGTTGAACAACCCAGCCTTAATCGATAGATTTAAATAATACATTATTAATGTGCCATCATATATTAATATTATTATCCTCAACTTTCTTTTATTTTACAGATTGTTTTTCTACACGATTATGCTCAATGTCCACGTTGTAGGAGCTATGACTTTATGCTTAAAGAGATCTAAAATAAACATGACTATTTTTGTTAGACGAGTTAAAGTTATAAATTAGACAAATTAAACATAAGTAAGATAATTAAGTTAAAAGTTGATAAATAATTTAAATGAAACTTTTAGTTTTACTATATTGAGTGAGTTAATGAATGAATAAAAATATATGAATAAATATTGTAAGGTGTGATATACGATAGTATAGTGGAACGAGGATTTGTTTGGAAAAGACTGAGATATTTTCATATATCTATAACAGATGACATTGAAAGATGCTTGTGCACTTATATGTATATGTTTAAAGTCAAAGTTAGAACTGTAAAAATGTTTAATATCTGTATGTGAGAGTCAAGAATATCTTTATTTTTTATCTTTATCTTTCACAATACATTATCAGAATATTGTTACAAATTAGACTACTATATTGTTACAAACAGTATTGGCATTGCAAGAAAGGATTATTCTAAATTCTAAATTATAATTATAAGTATAATATGAAAATGATAACAAAATTTTTTGACAATAATGTTAAAGAAATAATCATAAAGTAAGAATAAATAGTATATTGTTTTAAGAAAGCAACTATAAAACTGTATACAATATACTTCAATTCTATATCCTGAAAAGATTAGCTTCTTTAATTCAAGCGCCTGTAATAAAATTGTAATATATTGGATAATTTTAATATATAATAATTACATGTTTGAAAAAATACTCTTGCTAAACAATTTAACATGTAACATATTTTGATTCTTAATACATACGATGAAAAGTTTTTGAGAATATAGGTACCACAATAAGAGGATATATAAATGAGATAAAAACTGCTGATTATTTTTAAATATCTTTAATATCTTATTCATCGATATAATATGCAATGGCACCGACGATTATTAATTAAAGACGGCCCGCTCTGGAGGCTGAGACCTCTATTCTTGAAAAAAAAACTTATACCAGAGAGAAATCTGAGAGAGAATGTGAGAGCCTTTTTCTTGTAACTGTAACTGTAACAAAATACGTACTACTGCCCTCTAAAGAAGTGGATACTAACTACATATGACGCATAGTATAAGTCATGGAGGATGAAGATTAAAGCCTTGTGTCCACGATACTAGAAATTGGTCCAAGACCTCGGATAAAGAGAGAATTAACCAATTGCAATGGTCATGTAATCAAATTATTCAAATGTGATTTGTTAATTTTTTCTCTGTCGGACAGATTTCTAGCATTGTAGACATCGGGCTTAAGGAGATCGAAGTAGGATTTGAAAAGTGTGGTTAAAATCAGAGAGTCGATTGTGTATCTTAGAATGAGATAAAATTGCAAAAGTGAATAAATTCATTAGTTATTGATCAATTACATTATGAATATTTCAGTGAATTTGCTCACTTTTTGTAATTTCCACCTTATTTCGAGATATCGAAAGATTTTCGAATCGACCCCCCAGGTTTCTGAATTGGTATTAGTGGTGCTTGGTAGTGATGTTCGATTTACAAAACTCCTCTCATATACGCTTACGCACATACAACCGAATGCACATAACCTAAGAACCTAAGAGATGTTATTCATTGACATCATGCTCTGACACTAAGAGAAAGATGTAAATTGTCATTAGAACTGCATGAAGGATGGAGCACTCTTCATATAAAATTGGTATGACCTACCGTGCAAACTACAAGAATGTCGTTAGAGTTCCTTTAGTAAGAGTTAAAGTTAAGACGTAAATTAAGACATCGGAAGGACGCCATTGCCGGAAACAGCACAATTTCATCATAGTTGACAGTTAATAAGCCGATTTCGCGTTCGCGCCTTCTACACCATGGAAAAATTGCTCACATCAATTCACAGATTTATTATCGTATTGAAAGTATTTGCAAATGGCGGCGTTTAAAGGGACTCGAAATTTGACCAATCAGAGATTGGTACCCCTTATGACTTGACTCCGGCTATGGCCGAAGTCTCGTTACAAAAGTGCTCAGAAGTGTTTGATAGATCATTAGAAGAAAGAATTTTACAAACTGACCAATTACAAAACACTTCAAAACGTTTGTAACATCACGTTGATTATATCCTCCTTACTAGAGGGATTACTCCCTCTAGGGGGTCGATTCTGTATCTTCAAACAAGGTAAAAATTACAAAAGTGAGCAAATTCGCTAGATGTTGATCAATGAAATTATTAGTGTTCTAGTAAATTCGCTCACTTTTATAATTTTTACCTCGTTTCAAGATATAGAATCGATCCCTAAGTATCGTGGAACAAAAGCGATATCTCAATCGAACCTAATTCAGATAACCACTTTTGAACGCTTTTTGACGGCCTCGTGCATGGGTGCTTTCCAATTGCAATAGACACTTTCGTACACACGGTGACCATAAGACTTATAAGATAGAAGGAGCATTCATACGAGAGAAACTGAAAACTTGATAGAAAGAGAAAGAAATAATCGGGGAGTAGTTCTATTTTTTTCTAATGATGAATTAATTGGTCGCCGCGGCTGGAAAGTGACCGAGAGCAACGAAGATAGACGTTCAAAAATTGTGGTCTTACGATAAAGCTGATTAGCCGCCCCCTGTAAAAGAGAGAAACAACTATGTCTGGAGAAGGCACTATAAACATGAGTATCCGTCACTTTTCCCCACTCCTTGCTCTGTTTCCTGACTGCCGCTGAGCTGAAAAGATTATGGTCGTTACGATTGTTATAGATTATAGCTTTTAAACTATGAAACCTTGTAGCTTCGTGTTTATGTATTTCCGCACTTCAAAATTTTATCACAAAACTAAGAGACAAAAAGAAGGATATAAAAAAACTGAAATATTATATATTAACAAACGCAAAAAAATTTATAAAATGCCTTGTTGCATTGCGGTAAACTGTATCAATAAATCAGAAAAACGTATTCGATTATTTAAATTTCCTGCGGATAATATTCGTCGCAACTTGCTGTATTGCTATAAAATATAAATATATGACTTCACGTGAATAAATGTGATTACACTTTCTCGCTGATGAGAAATTTCAATTTCCTTTTCTTCAAACATATTTGGCATGACTTGACATACATATTTGGCATCTTATCTAGAAATAACCTGAATGCCAGATACACTTCAGGTCCTGAAATATAATATTACAATAGATATTCAACTAATTTTAAAAGCAAAAATGGAATGAAAGGAGCTACAAAATTTCAAGCAGCAAATACAAATCATAACCTGTAATGACCATAATCCGTCACAGTTCAGTGGAATGAGGACAAAACAAGGAATGGGAAAAGGAATAAAAATGGTGGATGCGAATACCTAAGTTTCTAATATTCTGGTCTGGAGTAGAGCTGTCCTTCAATGTTGTCTTCAGCTTCTCTCGTATAAACGCTCCGTCTATTTTTTTATATAAATCTATGACGGCGATATAAATTGCGTTCCAATTGTCTGTTATCGTCGACACAACGCTATACATCTGTACTCAAGCTTGTGTAAGCCTGTGTAAGCCTATGTTTCAAGTGATAATTACTGCGGTGGCTATAAATGAGGTTGGAGGACGTTGAGTAGGTGGCACTTATACTTTTTTCTGTTTAATACAGGAAACAAGTTACATTCAATCTAACTCTATCCGAAATGGATCTCAATCGTGCGTAGCGTACACATTCTGTTCCAATTGAATCGTGCATGTTACACTTTATATATTCCTGTGTATGTTTGTGTTATCTACAATAGATTTTTAAGCCTTAAAACATAAAGAATGGACGAATCATAATCAATTATTCTTTTCGTATTCGATTGTAAGTTAAATTCTTAAGGTTTAAGGATGCCGTTCCATGATGTGTATCATTGTACGCGCATATTCGACGAAGGATCTGATCAATTGACTTGTTCCACCGTTTTATGTATACGACAATTTTGTTCTTTATGTTCCATGCAGCGGATCGCGCGTAAGTGGATTGGCGATCTGCTAATTCGTTTACGAGCAATCCGCTGGGCTGCGTTCAGGAATAGTGCCTATAGATATATAATTCGCCTATAGATGTATAATAATAGATATAAAAGAATAGACAATTCTACGTTGCATTTTTGCTATAATATACGTGACGTAACCTATAGCTTAGAGTGTCATCACTTACGACGTAACTTACGTAAGCATAATTTGCACTAACCAATCATATCGTTTCACTTGAACATCAGTTTCTAGTCTAGTCACTTTATGCTTTTTATGCTATTTTGTTGTTACGCCAAAACATGATGGAATCATGCGTTAAATTCAATTTTTGACTCATTTTAGTTTATTCTGTCTGAAAAAATATTGGGTTTTGATTTTGCAACAGTATAATTACAGAAGTCGTGCACCCCTTTGTATCGCGTGGAAAGTCGAAATTAGTCAAAACCCATGTAGAACAATATAAACCATTATAGACCTTATTTTATATCTCTGTGACAGATTTCGTTAACTTCAATAGTCATCAACTATAACGCTTAATCTCAGATTACAGAGCAGAGCGATACTTCTTTTGTCAGATTCTTTCGTTTCATGCAAAAACGCGTCGAATAAGTTTAAGAGTAATCTCGCAAAACTTTCCGATTTTAATAATTCATTCATCCGCTCATATGTATGCGATGGAAAGGTGCCGGTTCCCCATGAGGCGTACTTTTCAAGATTCATAGGTTACGAAAACCAATCGTAAATTCATTTAGCATTTCTGTTAGAGTGTACAGATTCATTCTAATCAGCAATCGCATTTCTCTAATCTTCCGCGAAATACGCCCAATGTAACCAGCTTTAAGAATAGCGTATTCTAGTAAAGAAAATATAACGTATTCTAGTAAAATTACTAAAATCTGCAGATTTTAGGGGCTCCGCACAATAAAAGGAACAGGAAACAGAGAACAGAGAATTTCAACCTATCAGAAACTGTGTATTCCATAATACATGATTTCTGATAGGTTGAAATTTTTTTTCTCTGTTCTTTGTTCTCTGTTCCTTTTATTGCGCTGAGCTCTTTACGCTTACACAAATTACGCCT